CAAGATAACACACGACAAACTAGAGCATCAATAATGGCACAATGAAGTCTGCCTGGCACAGAGAACAGAAGAGGCCCAGACACCCAGTCACCTGAGATAGTAATGTGGCCAGTTATGTTACTAGAGTGTCTGGCTTAGCCAGAGCTGTAGGCCATGGTTCTCAAACTCAAGCACATGTCAGATTGTTCTGCAGGGCTTGATAAAACTCAAGGCTTGATAAAACTCAAAACTTGGTAAGACTCTGGGGCCTTACACCTTGAGTTTTTGAGTTGGTAGTTCAGGGTAATGCCTGAGAATCACATTGCTAACACATTCCCAGTAGATATTGATGCGCTGAGTGGGGCCTACACATGCAGGCCACTGCTACATGGAAACTGAAGCAGAGAATGATCAATCGCTCTGCTCTAGGTAGCTTAACATTTAATGGGTTCCTCTGCTCCAGTTTTGATTACAAGATTTGAAGAGGGATGCAGATAAATGGTAGATGATGTGGGAAAAAAGATCAGGAAAATGATCAAATGGATGTAAATTAAAATAAAATAGAAATTTTATAAGTAATTGGGATTATTTTATTTGAAGAAGAAAATAATATTGTTTAATAGGTATTTTCAATGCATCAATATTGGCTATGACTAGGTTGTCCTCTATATCCTCAGGGAACAGGTAAAGATGAATGAAATTACAATGTACTAAGAAATACTGAAATTAGGCATAGGAAAACACTGCTAAACTTTCATGAAAACGTGGAAATCTAGCTTTCAAAGATATCTTGACTTAGATGATTTTGATTCAATATTCAAAGTGTACTGATGGGTGAGAAATTGGGGGTGGGGGGAGACAAAAAAAGAGAAATGTAAATCCAAGCCTTTTAGAGAACTGCACTGAAATGCCATTTTATCTTTTAAATATTCTACTTGTAATAATCCATTTAAATAGTCAACTACCAGGAAAATCTCTCCCACACTGAATATTTTCATTTCTGTCTCAAACTTACTTTCAATAGAAAGTGTGTTCACTGGTGGTTGATATTTGCATTTTTGTGATTAAAACATCCTTAGGTTTCTTCAGCAAATATTTTATACTATGCAGGTACTTAAATTATATATTAAAATCCACCTCAGTTATATACTTTAACATAACTTCTATTGGATAAAAAATTGTTCTTACCTCCATGGGCAGAAAGGAAGAACAGTTGATATAATGGTCTTTGTAACTATTACTATCAATAGTACTTTAATGCTAGAAACTAACAAATAATTATAGGTAAATGTCAAAATAAAAGTGAGATTTTAAAATTTTCTCTAATATACCTAACTAAAAATGATACCAATTGAATTTTAGAAAGAAGAGAAGAAAAGTGTGCCTCTCAGTTATCCAAGCACATGGAGTCCCCCAAAGCACAAAACACATGTGTCAGAGAGGAAATTATCCTTGCAGACCATGGACAGAAAGTTTCTGTGGCTAAACAAACTCCTACAGCCATATACAAAGACATTGCATATATGTAATGTTTCTGAAAGAATTACCTTAAGATAATAATAACTAGTATTTAAAAGTGAGAATATTAACATGGAAAAATAAGATTAAAGATGTTTCTGGGCCTCCCCTGGTGATGCAGTGGTTGAGTGCTGGGCTGCGAAACTGCCCTTAGCCTCTGAAGCGCCGGTTCAATCCCTGACCACTGGGCGAGGGTCCCACATGGCGCGCAGACCTCTCCTGCCGCCAGCTGCTCCCCTTAGCAGTGTATTTTGTCGGTCTGCCTGTTCTGTTCCCCACTCTGGCTCTGGCGAATTCTCTCACCCTCCCGCACTTCTGACTGTACCCAGTGCTTGTATAGATAATCTTTAAAAAAAATTTAAAAAATAAAAAAAAAGATTAAAGATGTTTCCTCTGTACTGAGACATTCTAAGAAAGTCTAGGAAAAATTCAAAGTTCATATTCATTGAACCAGGCTAGTTACCTACTAACTTCTGAACAAAAATAAACACTTAAAATACATATTTAAAATGTAACATATATATGTGTGTGTGCATATATATGTATGTATGTATGTATAAGGTGTTTATTCTTGTCAGAAGTTAATAGGTTTTATATCTATATGTACAGATTTTAAAAATGCTGAAGGTGTGACAAATGTCTTGCAACTCAGCATTGTCTGTAACATCAGCATCATCTAGGGCTTGTTAGAAATTCAGCAATGCCTCAGACCTATTTAAGCAGAATCTGCCTTTTAATAAGATTCTTAGGTGATTTATATGTCCTTCAAATATTTAAGGTTTGAGGATCACTAGTCAAAATTACCAGTATTTTTTTTCTGCATTGTTTGCTAGAGGACAGTAGATGTATCTACTAATCAAAACCATGTTTTTACATTCTTGATGTATATAAAGTATATTTGATGATTCTAAAAGCCTTAAGTAGATTTTGAGTTTCTTATCAGATACTAAAACCATCCAATAATTGCTAAAAGTTTTTAAGAGGACAAGAAGGCAAACTACTCCCTTATTATACCAAACATATAAACAAGATGGAAACATAAAACAGTGTTCAATATAACACCATAGTTGTCATTTTTTCAATATGTATTTTAATCTGAAATGGTAAGTAATCCTGATTTCATACAGTGTATGCATGAAAATTAAGTCCATTATTATTTTAATAATGGATTAAATATTAAAGGTTAAGAAATCTCCAAATACTTTTACTGGCACTAAACAACTATTTCTCATCTGCTCTTTAACTTCTTTAAATCCTGCTTTATATTCTGGGGGACTCTCAGCCTATAGGGCACACTAAGTCAACTGAGGAATTCTCCTTCCTGAACTTGACTTTACTGATTTATTTTGACTTTTCAACTCAGGCTTCCTGGGGAAGATGGGTTGTCTCTCCTCCACCTTGTTCCACCTCCAGGTAGCAGGAAGACAGTGTCCTTGACAGTCAAGAAACAAACTCCACTGATACTAAGAAAGAGCCAAAGGGACAAAGGGAAGCAAATGTCTGGATAGCCACAGCCTGGATGTTTATAGCCCCGCTTAAGAATTTTGCTCAGGTAACTGAATTGTCCTAGTTAGGAGCATAACTGTTTCTACTGGGAATGATATAAAGCTGTGGTTATTAAAACATTTAATCACATGAAATAGGCCTACCTGCTACCTTAGCACTGTCAGAAATATGACTGCTTCCCATGATGCACTTAATTCTATTGCCACATTGATGTTATTGAATATGTATGTGTATATAAGGATACACACTTACTCAAACATATATACATATATATATATATATATATCAAAATATGTGCTCATTTCTTAACTCCACAGAAACAAAGTTTATAGAAAACTACAAAAACATCCCCAAATCTTCACAATTTTAAATAAACAGTAGAGACATGTTACAGTTGAACAGAAAAATCTCTAAGCTGAAATCAGATGTTTTCAAAACAGGGGTCAAAGCAACCATTTAATAGTATTCATAAGACAATTATACACCACACTGATGTTAGTGTATAATGTGAAGTCTAAGACAATAAATGAAGGAAAAGCTCTGTATGATGAGCGTGCCCTCATCTCTCTGCACTGACATGGTACAGTATGTGTCAGGAGGTTGACCTTGGTTCCGAAGTAGGGGAATGCTTTGTGAAGAACAACACAGTAAGAAAGACCTATTTCACAGACGACAGCGTGGATTGTAACATCACATGTAATTTTAAGCAGGAAGTTTGATGTCTTAATTGTAGAACTAAAACTTCATGACAGTCACATACTGGAAATTATTTCCCCTGGCCCTCATAGTCAATGAGGGATAATAGGTATTGTAGCATGGTGCAGGGAAAGGAAAAGGTAGACTCTGAAAACTGGGGCTCACTATACATATGATTATCATAAAAATTCTTACTAATAGAGATAAGCAAATGGGAACCACCATCTCTACAAAGATATCATTTATTGCTTTAAAACCTCATTATGGAAAATTCCCAGCCCAGGCTATGTCAAAACCAACTTATCTTAGTCATTTCCCATATGGAGATGCTATTAACTTTTAAGTGGTTAAAAATGAATCGACTCATCATATTCAGTCTACCATTCCATCATATGTCGAAGAAAGTTTTTAAAGGCATCAACTTGATTAGATTGATCATAGAATGACAGCTATTGAAAATTTTTTCCCACCTCTGAAATATTTTAATCACTCTTCTGCTTCTATAAATAACCTAAGGGAGAAGACACAAGTTCAAGTATAGGATTTAGTCACACTTGTGCTAAGAAGGGGCTTTGGAGAGACGGCGTTCGCAAGCAAGCTGCCAGAGTGGTCCTGAGACCACCATGGGCATAACATTTGGGACAGACAATGAGGTTAATTTATTACAAATAATTTCTCCAAGGATCCTGAAATACTGGTCTCCCTACTCTCTGAATGAGCTAAGTTGATAAGCTGCCCAGAAATTCTTCCACCGTTTGTGCAGATATAGCTATAAATCCATTACAAGTGGAAGGGTGGTGTCAGCATCCAGAATACCTGTCTATGCTAACAGAAGTGATGCTCAGATACAATAACCTATAATATGTTTAAAATTAATTATTCTGTGTCATTTCCTGAATAAACCTTTGCTCTCTGAAAATAAGCAATATAGTTTTATTGTATTTAAGTTGCTTTTTGGTGAAAAGAAGGAAAAGGAGTACAAACTTAACTTCTCATGAATAGCCACATGGTCATTTCACTTGTGAACTTAAATGTACAACATATAAATCATGGCCAGGGGTGTGTTTTATGTACTCACAAACAAACTTAATCTTTAAAATAGAAGACCGCCTGTTTCGAATGCATTTTGCACCATAGATGATATAAGCCAGAAACACTTGGTCTACAATATTTACTTGTACTTGTCTCAATCAAGAATAACTATTAATATACTCTCAGATATAGAGATACAGAAACTGTTTTGCATATTTTATGAGAGCTTTATACTGATTTATTTTTCAGAATATATTAAAATAAATTTAGTCTACTGTTAATAGATACAGTTTTTCCTTTGTTTCTTGAAAACATTCAGCCTGTAGCTTAAGAAATCACAATCATGGAGCTAATCAAGCCTACTTCATATCTAAATCAAAACAAAATTTATAATTCATTTTAGAAGGACATATTGAAAATCGATATTGAAAAATGACTGATTTGATTCTGGATTTACATGGCAACATTGAAACTAGTGGTCTAAATAAGACAGAAAGAATTACATCATTCATAGAAACACTAAAGTAATTCTTGTGAAGATTAATTGCTGAAAGTAAAGAAAGAATGAGTAAGAATGAGTTTAGGGATTCATGTTGATAAATTATTACTGAGTTCATGTTAATAAAATCAGGTCCCATTGAAACATAATCATGTAAACTATTTTCATTGGCTTAAAAGAGATTGTATTCTGTTAGACATATGCAGCATTGAAAACCTACCTTAACATTTTTTTTAAATGTCTGGAAAAGTAATTTCTCCTCCTTTTTCCCCAACAACTCAGTTTTATTTTAAAGTTCAGGTATAAAACTCCCGGACTAGCTTACTTTTTAATAACACCATGACCATGTCCTATTCTTTCCCTTCCCACCACCACCAATCTTCCAAACAAAACAGAAAACAAAATTCTGCCTCCAAGTAAACTATGAAAAATACCCAAACCCAACCCTGGAATAAAACAAAATGATAATGAGCAAAGAATTTAACAATCTTTTAAAAGGTTGAAAACACTGGTTATGTTACTTTCACTTCAATCACTTAACTCATCTAAATGAATGCTTCATGGATGCTGAATGCTTCTTGGATGCTAAGTGCTCCGTGGCTCCAGAGAGAATCCAATAGAAAGAATTTAAGTAAAGCATCTCAACTATTTTGCCAGGTAGTGGAAGAGCTTGGTAAATGCAGAAATTAGCGTGCATCCTCCTCTTAAGTGGCCAACTGCTACACATCGCTGGGTGACCGTGCTCTCTGGGAGAGACTGGATGGGATGCAGCCGCAGCAAATGAGGCAGAGGGCTTTCTGGATCTCTTGGTTTCTGAAAGCATAGATGACAGGGTTGATAATGGAATTGTAGGTGGCCGGCAGGAGGGTGGCGTAGGTGTAGATGGAGGGGTAAGTGTAATCAGCTATCAAGGAATAGAGGGTAAAAGGCATCCAGCAAGCAGCAAAGGTCCCCAGGATGATAGCCAGGGTCGAGACCCCTTTCCGGGTGGTCACGTAGTGTGAGGTGGCCAGGAAGTGGTGCTGCAGGGCTATCTGATGGGCGTGCCTCATGACTATCTTACAGATCTGGATGTAGAGTTGAAGCATGAGCGCAAACATGAAGAGGAAGGAGACGGACAGGATGGCTGCGTTGTTCTTGGTAAGAGGTCTGACCACGCTGCAAGTGGACTCGTCTCTGAGGCAGTTCCAGCCCATGACGGGCAGCAGTCCGAGACAGATGGAGGTCCCCCAGAGCATGATGAGCATGACATAGGTAAAAGTGACCGTCCTCTCGGAATGGTATGTCAGAGCATAATACAGTGAGAGGTAACGGTCGACAGTGATAGCCAACAAGCTGCAGACCGAGGCAGAGAAAGAGGCGACAATGAGGCCAATCGTGACCAGCTTGGTGGCTTCTGACTGAAGCAGGTAGGCAAAAACAAAATTGATGATGAGTCCAATGCCGGCCAGCAGGTCCGCTAGAGCCAAACTGCCAATCAGCAGGAACATGGGCGCTCGCAGGCTGGGGTTATGGAATATGATAAGGACCACAATGGCATTTTCACAGGAGATGAGGGTTCCTGAAGTGCACAGGACAATATCCCAGGGGTTGACAGTGAGCTCTGGCTCTGGTTCTGTAACTGGAACCTGGGAGGAGTCAGTGGCCGAGATGTTCTCCGCAGCAACGGCATCTAAATAATCCCGAGGCAGCCCGCTTAAATTGACCTTCAGGTCTTCATTCATTTTAACCCCTGTCCTCTTCAACGAAAAGACAGGCTTTTTAATGTTTAGACACAGCAGGATGACATTTCAAGATCATGCAAAAAGGAAAAAAAAGAAAAGAAACGAGCACAAACAGAAAGCCAGCTCCTACTCAGTTACTATCAAATGCCACGCGCCTCGTGAATTATAAACTGTTTTGAAATAAAACAAAACCTAAAGTCTCCGTGGTTTAAAACCCACAACAACAACAAAATGCCGTTTGGCACTGAGGAAAACACAGGATGCGACTTGGAAACACCAGCGTAAGGGAGGCAGGCACACACGGAATCGCGGCGGTGTTTGCTAAAGTGCTGGAAATACACATCTGAAAATCACATCTTGCATGCTGAAGACGCACAACTGTTTGACATCTGGGCTGCTGCCGAGAAAACCACGCCGCAGCGACAAGTCGCAAGCCAGGGGCCGCCATCCTCGATGGAATATTTAAATCTCCCAATTCCATCGAACTCCCACCCACCAAAAAAACCTTTCGCGCGCGTGCACACACTTACACACACCCCCAGTCAGAACAAAGAGGGGTCCCACACTTCCCCCGTGTGTATGGGGCAGTGGGGCAGGGCCACAAAAGGCAGGTGTTTGGAATGGAGGTGTGGAGACAGACAGACAGATGCCCATGCACGGCCGCTGCTCCCCTGGCGGCGGGGGTGCGCGGCGGACGCGGGGGAGACAGACAGGGCGCGGGATAGGCGGCCCCGCGGGGGCGGGGATCATCGGGGGGTCACCTTGGCGCGCCCAGGCTGAGGGGGCTCCTCCCGTGCTTCCGCGGCGCGTGGTCTACTCCTGTCGCCTGTCGGCTCGGGAGCGGCACGCGCGGCGGCAAGAGGCGGCGGCCGCGCACCGGAGTCGGCGGGAGGGCGCGGGGCGCGCGCTCGGGGCCAGGTGAGGGGCGGCCGCAGGTAAACGGCGGGCTCCACGCGCGCGCCGGCTTTCCGCCGCCGCGCGCCAGCCTGGCCGCCCGGCCTTCCACGTTCCCAGCACGGGCGCGCCCCCGTCCACGAGCGCGCCCGCGCGCGGGAGCCCCGGGAGGCCGGCGCGCGCCCCCACAGGTTGGGATTGCGCGGCAGCGCGCGGACAGCAGAGGGCGGACCCCGCCAGGTGAAAGCTCCGGGCCGCGCTCTGGGTGGGAGAGAGAACCTGGGGGCCCAGAGTGGCACTGGCACTGGCACCCTCCCTGCCTGCTGTCCTTCGTCCCACCCCAGCTGGCTGTCCATGGCTTGCACCTGGGCCGGGGCAAGGGAGCACGGCCTGAGAGCCCCGTGACCTATTTTGTTCCTGAGGATTTTCCAAGTGCCTGGGGAGTCCCAGACTCCAGCGGCCCGCTTTTCAGGGCCTTTCCCTTAAGGGCTACATTCCCGTTCAAAAGAATAGGTTAGGGTGGTTTTGGGGAGTAGCAGCAGGGATGAGCGGGATGAGCAGCTTAGAGAAGCAGATCATTAATGCTAGCCAGATACTTGAGAATTGTTGTTGGCCACAATGCATCCCTCCCCAAAGAGGCTTCCTTCTCTGGGTGTGTCCTGTATGGGCTTCATTATTATTGTTGTGCGGGGGCATTTGCTTAACAGGATATGTGGTGCTGCTGTGCACATCATCATTATCAAATTGCCCTTATTAAGTGCTCCTTGAGCTGGTTTTCAAATGGAAATCATTTACTGAGTTCCAGCGGAAGTTTCCTGCAGATGCTGGCCCAAACCCAAATCAATGAGGTACTGTAGCCGTAATGTTGACATATTTTTCCATTTTAACACATCAGTAGGTTCTAAGATTAATAACTTGATAGCCACCTGCTTTAATAAACCCTTGTCTCCTCTGGATAAAAAACAAAAACAAAACAAAACAAACAAACGAACAACAACAACAACAAAATACAGAGCACCTGGTTGAGCTTAGGTTTAAAGATGACCTCACAGTATGAAGACGAGAGAAGTCTTACTGTTCTGGTCTTTTCCTGTCAGGCTTGAAGGTTTTTCCAAGTGCCTTTCTCTATAATGGCAGAAGGGCTCCCATATGTACAGAGTCTGCAGGAACTCCTTCCTATAGAGGCATCAGCCTCTGGCCACCCTACCTCCCACTGGTACTCACTGTAATTCCTAACCCCAACCCTGCAGGCTCACCCACCTCTGACTTCCAGTTCTCCCATCAATCAGCCCCCACCTCTACAACATCCCTCTAGTTCTCCCTGCTGATCAGTGCTCAACCACAAACCAGCAGAGCTGTAATGAGTCCAGATTCTGCATTTGCAACCTTCTTTCCCAGTGGTGCTGACACTGCTGGTCTATGGAACACACCGAGAAGCAAGGTTCTATGGAATTTTAAGAATTGCTTCTACCTGGTGGGGAAACCAGACACCTGCACTTTCCAAGAACCATGCTCAGGACTGGGTATGCAAATTCAGATAGATGTGGCCTCTCTACTTAGAGGCATGCACACGTCTACACATAAAAAGCAAGAGTAATACAGGCCCCCAAATGCTGTAATGAAAGGGTGTGCTTCTCTCTTTCAATTTCTGTGATGAATCAAAGCCTTTTTAGCATAAAGAAATGTGAAAAAATAGTCTTTTAAACTTCAGATAGCACAGTTTCAGCAAGATCAAGTTCAAACTACTGTCAAAAAATTAGGTGCATTGGCAGAGCAGTTTAGGGAAAGCAAATGCATGTCACTAGCTCAGTACTGTTCTAGATAAGAACACTGAAACTTGCCTGACCTAAAGCACTCACAGTATTGCAGTGCATTTACTCTCTAATGTGTTTGGAAAATAAGAAAAAAGAAAGACCTGAGGAAGGGAAAAGATATTGAGATGGAAGGCAGAGGTATGCATCTTTTTTTCTTTAAGATTTATTTATTTATGCATATGAGAAGGGTGAGACAGGAGAGGCCTGCTGCACCATGTGGGTAGCTCCCTGACTGGCCAGGGATCGAACTCGTGCTGCAGGGGCTGAGGACAGCTTCACAGTGTTGTGCTTAACTCCTTGCACCACCAGGGAGGCATGCATCTTTTTGCAGTGAAACCAGGGAAGAGTCAAAGGAATAAACAGGAAATTTACGCCTGGAGCTTGCATAGGGTTGACCCACAGGGCCCAGGAGATACACCAGTGTGAACATGCAGCTCCTGTCTTCACAGTTCTGCGCAGCCACCCTTTCCCCTTGAATGATTACTTGTAAGAAAAAGAGTATAAATTTTATGGTACTCCTACTTCTGTGTTTATTGATGTATTTGTTAGGACTTTTGTTGCCAAGAGGCAGGAATCCAATTCAAACTAGCTAAGAAAAATGGATTTTGTGGTCTAGCATGGCTGGGAAAGATCCTGGCATGGTTCGTGGAGAAGCTGCAGGGACCGAATTTGGCTGAGGCTCTCAGCCAGTCCTGGCTCCTGACTCATTTCTTTGCTTCCCTATGTCTGCCACCCTCAGACTGCCCTTTCCTGGACACACATATCCCCAGACAGCCCTGGGCCTGAAACCATCTTCATCGCCTGGGAGAGGAGTGCCCCCAGAGAAGCTGAGCTGGTGTGAACCCAGCTCTGAACTAACTGTGTGCTGATGAAACGGGATGAATTAAATGGCACAGAGCTGGATCATGGAGTGAGGAATCTTTAAGTGAGTATCCATTTGAACTTTGCTAGACAAAAAGTGAGGTGGGACCCCAGGCAGTGAGATACTGGATGGCCTTTGAAGGGTGAACTCCGTGCGCAGATCAGAGGTTTTGCATGGCCTCCAGTAATGAGGGTCATAAAGTAGCTGTCTGCAAGGCTGCCTTTCCAATTTATTCACCATCCATCATAGAACCCCGAAGTAGATGCCCTCTGAATGTGACCTTTACTGCCCTTTTATTGCTAATCTTTTTTAAAAAATAATTTATAAACCTTCAAGCACAGTCTGGATTTTCTCACCATATAGTTTCATTTATTGCTTTTGTGTGAGAAAGACTCTGTGCAGATCTCAATTATGCAAAATGTATTTACCAACTACAATCTTGTGCCCATGTTTATTAGCCTTTGCAATTGAGTTTGTTAATCATGGAAGGGGAACAAGTCATAACCAAACCAGTAATATGGGGAGTCCATGATGTCTTTGTTGAATTGTTTCTAGTTACTTTTCTGCTTGTGTTAATAATCACTAATCAATTTCTATGTTTGATTAATGGTGTCCTAATCCAAACCAGACTGACCATGATTTATTTTGCCTAGCCCAGGGTCTATATCACACCGGAGATTAGAATATGACTGAAAATTAAAGTTTAATATTTACTTATTTATTCACCTTAGAGTAAATTTATTGCATTATAACTGACATACAGAAAGTACACACTCCCAATATGACCGTATGATGAAGAGATACCAAGTGACTATACCCATGTCACCACTATCCATCTTAAGAAATAGAACATTACCAACACCTCAAAGCCTTCCTCTTGTCCCTCCCAGTTCTTAACCCCACTAGGGATAAGAAATGATTTCCTATATTCCCACACCATAGGTTACATTTTTCTGTTTTCAGATTTTGCATAATTAAGATCATAGAACCTGTATACTTCTGTAACTGACATCTTTCACTTAAAATTATGTCTGTGAGGGCCTCCCTGGTGATGCAAGGGATTAAGACACAACCTATGAAGCTATCCACAGCCACTGCAGCATGAGTCAATCCCTGGCCAGGGAGCTACCCACATGGCACAGCAGACCTCTCCTCACTTGCCTGCTGCTCCCCTCAGCAGTGTATTTCAGTTGATCTGCCTGTTCTGCTCCCCACTCTGTCTCTGGTGAATCCTCTCAACCCCCACACCTCTGGCCTGTACCCCAGTTCTTGTATGCATAAATAAATCTTTAAAAAAATTATGTCTATGAGATTCATTTATTTGCTGCATAGAGCACTCATTTATTCTTTTTCAATGCTGTGTATTTATTCTTTTTTGATGCATTTATTCTTATAATATGGCACAGTTTTAAATCCATTCTGCCATTAATCAACGTCAGGTTGTTCTTTGGTTTGGGCTATTGTGAATAAAACCACTACGAACACCCCTCTATATATCATGTGATGCACAAAGTATGTATTTCTGTTTGAAGTTTCTGAAGATGGAAGAATTGCTGGATCAAGTACACTTTAGTATTTAAATAAAACCTGGCTGCTACTTAAGGTCAGTGAGGGCTAACGAAAAGTGGTGGCACATCTTCCCCCACCCTCTTTACAAGTTCCTTCCCACTTCCCATTTTTATAGAGGAGGAACATATTTTCTGGGATTATCAAAGAGATAAAGAAAGATAGGAAGCAATGTTTAGTCTGAGACTCTGTGAGAAAGGAGAGCTCTTATCAGTGCTAACATTGCCTCATTCCTATATATATATATTTATATTTTAAAACTTGTATTAATTTAAAAAAGCCTTTCTAGTTATAAAGTAAACGCCTTTATAATTTATAAAGTAAATATATATCCATTGTAGAAATCCTGGAGCTTGAAACTAAAATTCAGAAGTAAAATTTCTTGTACTCTCACTTCCAGACAAAGCCACTGGGAACTTTTTTGTTAAGAGGCATTTTAACGAATTTACTTATTTATTTTGCAGAATAACTGGAGGAATTACTTTCAGAAATATTTTATTATCATCATTACATGGGGTAATATTTTAATTTTTCTTGGATTCTGAGCTGCAGTTTGCCTGGTCTCTGAAACTTATGACCTAGACATGCTGGGCACCCTTCCGCTTCCTCCTTCCCCTCTTCCATCTCCTGCACTAGCCTTTTCCGTTAGCTCCTCCCACTACCTCTTGGGCCCTGTGATCAGTTAAATAATGACTTTCAAAACAGCCCCGTCCTAATACTCGGAACCTGTGATTATTGCATTCCATTGCAAAGTGGACTTTGCAGACCTGATTAAGAATCTCCAAATGGAGAGATTATTCTGGATTATCCAGGCAGGCCC